CGCAACAATACTTTTAATAGAAAGGTTATCATGCAAGGACGGGTAAGATCTTTGATTTTTATATCTTTTTGGATAAGAAGAGATAGAGGGAATCTGTGTGAATTAAGTGGTTCAGATTGTTAATGAGGATTGGTAGTGTCGATGCGTCATCTTTATTCGTAATTAAGAGTAGAAATGGTAAGACAAACAGACACAAATATAAATTTCTACTGGGTAGGAGTCATGTTCAGTTAAAAGACAGTTTTGTTGTTTTTTCTGATAAGGTAGTTAGCCTTTGGAATGGGTTGGCTTCAGGTATGGTGGAAGCAAAAAATCTAAAGAAAGACTTGTTTGTTTGTAATTAAGCACAAAGCTACACAATGGGCTATCTGTGCTCTGCCTACCACGGGTATCGAAACTTGGTTTCTAGCGTCGTAAGCCCGCAGACATGCCGCTGTGCCACTGGGGGGCGGAAGACTTGTTAAATATAGTTAAATGATAAAGGATAGCTTTGAGTTGTTTTTTTTAAGCATCATTTAGTGGGTGGAGCAACCTCGATGGATCAACGGGCTTCTTGTTCACCGTAAGTGTCATGTTAAAAGAGAAACTATTGAACAGTGACAAGTCAAATGCAAACTTTGTATTGGCAAACCTTATTGGCCCCCAGTGGTACAGCGATATGGACTTACAACGCTAGAAACCGGGTTTCGATATATGTAGTAGGCAAAACACAAATAGCCCATTGTATAGCTTTATGCTTAATTTCAAGCAAACAAGCAAAGCCTATTGAAATTGCTTCTCATGATTCCGAGAAGCGATCGTGCAATTTATTACTTCTGTTCACAATTAATAATTTGTTCTGTTTTTATGTTTACTGTTATATTTATATGTGGTAAAAAATAAAATTTGCTTGTTTGTTATGAAACACCAAGCTACACAATGGGCTATCTGTGCTGTGCCCACCACGGGTAACGAAACCCGGTTTTTAGCGTCATAAGCCTTCAGACTTACCGCTGAACTTATCGGGGGCAAAAGATAAAATAAAATGGGGAATGAGATACTTTAGGTTGTTTTAAGCATTTTTACACTATATTTGTTTATTAAATACTTTTGGTGTTCTTTTAGTCCAATCAGAACCATTTATAGAAGAGAGCCGACATCCAAAAATTGCATTGTGATTGGTTAGTTTTCTGGCGGCCATCTTTACTTTTCTGTATTGCATTCTTGTTTACAAGTGGTACTGCTAGTAGGTTTAAGTTATGACTACAGAAAAACAAACGAAAGTTCCATACTGCATTGCAGTTGGTTTCAGCAATCGTTATAAAAAAGAGAAGCGACTAGACACGTTTCCTCCTGACAAATAAAGAAAATACTATAGAACATTAAAGTTAAACGAAAGATCTGGTTGGCAACGAAGCATTTATTAGTTATGTGAGGTAGGCCTGAGAGTAAGAGAAACTGAAAGATAAACATGCCAGGGTACTGGGTAGTGTTACTCACCGTTACCGGAGGCGTTTACAGTTAAAAGCATAAACGAAGGCATAATATTGCTTATGCATTCTTTTATTATCAAAGGCGTAAACGAATTTTAAGTTAATGCATTGTTTATGTATTCTTATTACAAAATAATACGTCTTAGACTTAAGTTAATGTTTTGGTGTTGAACTTTAAATATCTTAATTTCTTTTTCTAGGTTTGAAATTCTGTTTATTAAAGTTAGTATAGAGGAATTCATCAAATGCACTAGACGCATGTGTAAATTTAAAATATAGAAAACTATTTTTTGTTATAAAACGTATGCATCATCATGACATTTTTCTGAACAGAGACATTTTGAAGATCAATTCATAAAGACATTAGCAAGATGGAAAAACAGACTAGAGCCAAATGCTGTACCAACAATATTTTCACTAATGACAGTTAAACCAAAGAGAAATTCAAGAAAAAAGAAAACTGCCAAATACTGATACATTTCAGACCTGGCTTGAATTTTGAAGTGAAGAGTAATGGAAAATGACCATTACTATGTAACACTGTTTTGTTTCAGGTATGAAAAATTTAATTAATTATATTTTAATGCTGGGTATGTCTAGTTAAACTGTTTTTACATTCCAGTATGAAACTATTTTTCAGGTGTTAACTCTGTGAAAATAATCCATGACAGTTGTTTTGTTGGTTGTTGAATGCAAAGCTACACATCATATTACACTAAAAATAGAAGAAAGGTTTATTTTTATTAGATGTTCGTGGCACAGATATCAACCAAGAGTCAAGTGAACTTACAGTTTCTTAAATGTTTTTGTATGTAACGAAATGGCCCAGCATGGCCAGGTGGTTAGGGCGCTCGACTCGCAATCTCAGGGTCGCGGGTTCGAAACCCCGTCACACCAAACATGCTCGCCCTTTCAGTCCTGGGGGCATTATAATGTGATGGTCAATCCCACTATTCGTTGGTAAAAGAGTAGCCCAAGAGTTGGCGGTGGGTGGTAATGACTAGCTGCCTTCCCTCTATTCTTACACTGCTAAATTAGGGAAGGCTAGCGCAGATAGCCCTCATGTAGCATTGCGCGAAATTCAAAAACAAACAAAACAAACAAACATGTAATGAAATAAAAGAATGTGATGAATGTAACAGTAAGTTAAGTATGTCCATTTATATGATTATCTATCACTATGAATGTATATCCTTAATGATGTTACTTACTTTTTATCTAAAATGTTGTAATTTAAGAATTTGCATTAAAATTTTTGAGTAGAAGAATCTATTTAATTCTGAAAAAGTTATGCACAGTCTTAACTGTAACTTCTAGATATTTCACAAAACTTCTTGATTTTTAACATTCACAAATATTCTTTGTATTACATCATTATCATAATTAGAATCTCACTCTATCAAAGAAATGTGTAAACCAAAACATTAAAGATATATTTTACAATAGTATTCATGACAAATATCAGAAAAACCTTCTAGTGAATGTTATAGTATGTTTTCAAGTTTTATTGTATGACTTTTATATGTATGAATGACATGCAACTGGTGTTAAACTTCTTTTGGTTGACAGTAGCATGATATCTGTAGTTGAAGCTATGGATTTTTCCACACATCAGATTTATTTTAAACTAAAAGCTTTAAAAAAGTGATTACCAATAAAATGAGTAAAAACTTTGTGTTTAAAAACATCAGATGAAAACAAAACAAAAAGGAAAAGTTTATTAAAGCAGATAGTCATTTCTTAACAGAGATCAAATAAAGGCTCTGTGGTAAAGAAATGTATGTGGTAGTAAATCGACTAAAAATACACTGACAAAATCTCTTTAACTTAGGTATGCTTGCGGTACAGCAGAATATAAAACTAATTTCCCAAAATTGTCCTTTTACTGCATTACATACCCACTGTAAATACATTGAAGTGGTAGAATTCCATTCTGGTGTTTTAGAAGAAGGTTATAGATTCTTAGAAATTAAAGTTAATCATATGAAAAGTTAAGAAAGAGATTGTGTTTAATGTTAATGAAATGTCTATACCCACTTCTGTGGAATATGATGCTAGCACAGGGTGTCTTGTTGCAGATGTTACACTTCCTGGATATGAAGGTGTTGCCATTTACAGTTTGGTTTTCATGATAGTAGGAGACAGTAGCTGATGGAAACAAACTGTTGTTTATCATTTAACAGATGAAGCAGGTAATGGAGCTATTGTTAAACAATAATTAAAAGTAATTTCCAAAGCAGAAAGTTTAGGTGGGTAATTGCTGTCACCTCTGATATGGCAAGCTGTACCAATTCAGTGTGGAATAAAATAACCATCGGTATAATATAAACAGGTTTTTGCACTTCCAGATGCACTTCATATCACAAAAAAAATATAAATTACAATCATATGTTGCTAGTGGACAGGAAATTGTGATTCTATCTAGGCCATCCAATTCACTAAACTAAACATTGAAATAAAAAAAATATAACACTCTGAGTCAGCTCTTGTCATTCAAATATTTATCAAGCCTTCCCTTAAACTTCCTTATATTAACTGCATCCACCACATCTAAAGCCAATCAATTCCAAAGCCCAACCACCTTGTTAGAAAAATACAACCGTCTTAGCTGAAGATGACTTCCATCCTGTAACAAAATACATTTGTGTCCAATAGTTATACCATTCTCACCATTAAGTAAAAAAAAAAAAAAGAGATGATGCATTAACACTATCAATTTCCTTAACTAACTTCAACACTTCAATCAGATCCCTTGTAGCACTTTTTTTCAAGTGAAATCAGTTTCAAAAGCCTTATCCTGTCTTTGTATGACAACTTTTTCATTCCAGGTATTATACTAGTAGCCCTTCTCTGAACCTTTCTAACAATGCAGTGTCCTTCATAAGGTAAGGTACCAATGACTAAACACAATACTCCAAATGTGGCCTAACCAATGATATAATATATTGTACCTCTCTATACTTCTATTCAGCATTTCTGTAAAGACATAGTAGATGAAATTGGGAAGGAAGTTTTGAATCTTGCACCTAATGATATATTCTAAAGTTAAGAGCAGAGTCAAAGAGACTAATGGCAAAAGAGTAAATGGGCATGGTAGCAGAAGTATTGTTAAGAGATTTGCAATGGGTAGCCAGTTTTTAATTTTTAAGAATAACTGTATTATTATGTACTTTTGGTCATTTTTGATGCATCAGATAAGGAAATAGTTATTAATTAGATATGTTTGTTTCATTTTCAAGTGTTTGGAACAATATGTGTAATGAACAATACATGTATCATGACCACAATCTAATGTAACTGAAAAATTTGAACACATACCTTTGTATTTGTATTTATTTGGTTTGTAAGCCAACAGTTATGTTCTAACATACTTTTGTATACTAGTATGTCACAATTATTACGATTCATGATGTTAGCTGTTTCATTTCTTTGGAAAACCTAAGTGTGAATGTAGAATAAAATAAGTATTTTTGATTACTCTTTGTATCTGTGAATTTAGAGTAATAGAACAATTTTTGAAGAGATTTTCTATGTGTGATACTGTAGTCTTATAACTAGTAAGCACATAAGAAATACAAATCAAGTATAAATAATTTCTGGCAGAAACAAACAAAGATGCTACCATTATGTAAATAATAAGAATTAGTAAAGTAAGTTTTGCAAGAAAAATAAAATAGGCACATGTAGAAAACATTTATATGTAAAACATAATTTCATTGCATAAGCTTGATATAAAGTATATATTAATACATAAAAGATGTATGTAAGAGAGGAGTAAACATGGTGGCCAAAGGTCAATTTGTATAGAGGGCTCTGATTCCACTACTTCACATAATAAATCTAATTATTTATCATTCATGAAATTGGCCAATAATGTGGTCTTTAATGTTGATGTGGGTGAATCCCCTCTGCACCATTTTTTTTTTGGTCTGTACATTTAAAACAGTGTAAGTGTTTGTTGCTAATTTGGTATGGCTAGATAGATATTACAGTTAACATGACTTACAGGTTAAATACAACTTTATAAAATAATTAACTATGTGTTTGAAAAAATCAAAATGAGCTTAGACTTAAGAATGACCCAGAGCTTGTATATAGAATATGAGAAAAGTTGTAGTTGTTTACAAAATATAAATAGGATTAGGAAACAATGGTAAAGACTGATCTTATTGGTGGTATTAGACCTAAACTGGATGGGTGAGGCTAAATTATATCAGTTCAACTTTCAAGTTACGTTTTTTGATAGCTGGCTTGGTAACATCCCAGTTTGTCTACTCCCATTGGCAATAGACAAAATGGGAATAAACTTAAAAGAAATACAATATTCAGGGGCGATGACGACAAACCCACTTTGAGACTAATAATGGTTGGAGATAGCTTGAATGGGTAATGAAGAAAAACTTTAATATAAGTTTAACATAACAGCAAATGTACAATGTTTCGTCAAGGTTTTGTCATCATCAGGTACTTTGTTTAGATACAAAAATCACTTTGGTACAATTTTAGAAACAAAGCATTTTTTTTTATTTATACTGTTTACAATATGATGCAATAGACTTTTAAAAGATTCGCACATGGATATATTTCTTATGAACATGAACGTATACACTACAAATATATCACATAAAATAAATCAAGCTTATTCTCAAGAAATTATAATACACTCCGACAAA